ATAGCTTGATAAAGACTTATAGTCGAAAGTACTCGCTAACTCTGAAAATAAATTTTGTGGCATATATCTGATACGTATGTATGTGTATAGGCCTATATATTATACTCCACTAAACACTGGAAAAAAAATCATTTTACCATGTACTTTTCCACTTGGGAAGGGGGAGGGAGGAGGGGTTTCAGCAAAAAGAGTGTGTTTTGTACTCTCATGAAAATGAAAATAATTGTTTTACCACCTAAAGCATAACAAGGATGGTGCCGAAACCAGAGTCAATGTAAGGCTCTAAGTTATTGTGGCACTGTATTAACAGTTCTGCCACTCCATTCACTAATAAACTTTTTTCCTTATCGGATATAAATCTCCACTACCTTTTCAATTTCAACAAGCAAAGGGTTTACAACAGTGCTCCATAGTCTGCAAACATGCTCTTTGTTTGATACTTTACTAGTGGCTGTATCCAGAAGGCTAAAGACTGATTGCGAAAACCCCAATGCTCCACCTGGTGTTGTCATGCCACATTCAACCAACGCCTCAAAGATACAAAAAAACCTGGGAAAAAAAACCAAAAAAAAAGATTTACTGTGAGGTTATAGTCAGAGGTGTTAGCCTCTGATCAATTGTTTTCCTATTAATTATTCAATATGGCATGGCATTCAAATATACAAGATGACATACCTTTCTTCTAGATCATGGACAAGACAGTCACTAAAGAGTAAACCTATGAGGAACAAAGCAGGGGTGCCCTGTCGATAAACAAAGACAATTTATAACATTAGAAACACTATACAAACAACCAGTATCATGTAATCATGAAATTACTTTAATTAGTTAAATTTTGACATATTATACGAAAGATGAATCCAATGTTGAGAAGTAGTCATGTGGTCAGTAAATCCAAGCAAAATAGAAATAGCACTTTTCAAGCACAAGATTTTATTGTATGATCTATTGCACCAATAGATCGGATTGCATGTGCTATGAAGTGGATATGTTTTCTTCATCAAATATGAGCATATGACTTTGAATTTAAGTACTGAACAAAGAAATTCCATTAAACACAGGAAAGATCAGTTAAAATTCATTCTATATACACTATATCTATACTTTAAATGAACCATTCATCACATAATAAAGATAATACATATACTGCATCAAACTCTTACATGAAGAAGTTGGACTGTTCCGGTTGTGAAAAATGAAGAACTTAATGCCTTTTTGGGTAATGCACTCACAGCCTCCAACAATCTCTGAATAAAAGGGACAAAAAAAAATGTTTTAATAAAATTCAATATCTGAACTGCTTACTTAATATTTCAGTCCATGAATTTCATGTTGGCATTCGACCTAGATTTCTTCGTTTTAAAAACTGCTTGGCAAGTCAAAAGTTGACTGAAACAGGCCATAGCAGAAACTAAATTTTACGTATGTCGTCAAACTAAGGAAATTGGTCGTCAGTAAAACAGATTTCTTTGTTTTAATAGGCATACGTAGGACTATGATGTACGATGTGTGTGAATCGTCTTTCTCGCTTAGTGATTTCGTAGGCTAGCAGCTAGCCAGCCTAGGCCTAAAACTTCGCCCAATTGAAGCCATGTAGGCTGAGTAGATCGTAACGCATACCTACAGTAAATCTATTACTTGTCATCCGTGTACAGTATTATATTTAAAACGTTGTTTATTATATAAAAACAACTAAATTAAACTATTTATAGGCCTAATCCAACCGTCCTTTTGAACAGACACACATCGTGACTTCACTATCAATTGCATTACATGTGTGGACATTCTGGGCATGGTCATGGACATGCATGGGCAGTTTTGAAGCAGTCTGTGATCATTGCCTGCATTTTTAATGAAAGATATATTACCCACTCTAAAGATAATGCTAAATGAATGCCAAAATGAAATTTCTTCGGCAATTTTTATTTTATTACTCTATCAAAATAATACTAGCCTACCATTCTTTCACCAACAATATATTGATTTAATAAAGATAATTAACAAAATTACAATCTGTAGATTTCATTTCATTTTATTTGGCATTATAAGCATTAAAAATACATTAATACAAAAATATATAAATATATATAAATACAATTGCAAAATATGTCTTAAAAATTATGAAAAACCACTATTCAGAAAAAATGTTCACAAATAAAAATTAAAAAAAAATATACAAAAATTAATAAAATGAATCTTAAAAATATTTATTAATCAAAAATTAATTTTGGAGTTACCTTGTACATCATATACAGTTGAACTTGCCTAAGTCGAATCCAAAATGCCATTGAAATATTGATCGACTTACAGATTGTTAATTAATAGGAAACACAATAATTTAGCATGTAAAATAAGATAGACTTAGAAACTATTCAACTTAAACACAGTCGACTTAGGCAAGTTTAACTGTAAAAGAATGTCAATGTCAATATTATTGACAGGATAACCCATGAAAGTTCAGAAGAACTTGTTTCCAACGCGGTCCTAAAATATCACAAAGAGACAAAAACAGAGACAAACGAAAGAAGTAGTACATGATGTACAAGATAAAACAAAATATACAAATTTAGGATGGCCTATATTAAATTCTCGCAAAGACCTAACCTAACAGCCATTACCCAAGCAAGAAACAAACAAACAAACAAACAAGAAAGTTCAATATTACAGAATCTTTTATTAAGGTTTGCTATAATTTTATTTTAAGTACGTAGAGTGATGTTAAATTGTTTTATGTATGATGGTAGTGAATTCCATTGTTTGATTGCTGTGTAATAAAATGTTGTATTGTTTGGATGTTTAGTATGTGGGATACGAAAGTTTAACGAGTAAAATGATGGTGTAAAATATTGAGTCATGTGAAATGATTTTGTAAATATTGTGGACTAAGTTGACGAAAGATTCTGTAAATGTGAAGAATTCAAGTCTATCAGAAATGTTCAGTAAATGAGACCAGAGAGTTGAGAATGACCAACATGTGTCCTGACAAGTCAAAAAACTAAACAGATAGCTTTATTTTGTGTTTATTTGAAGTTTCTTAACATTTTGTTTAAATTTTTGCCGGCCTAATTTTTTGCCAATTTCATGGGCTATTATTTTCAATTGAAACAACAATACTTTAAATTCTCGTAACGTTCATAGCACTGTTGTCTAACATTCAGTGCTAATGGTGCTTTGAGCACCCAGGCTTAAAAAAGAGAATTTAAAAGGAACAGAAATTCAGGTTTAATTTCATTTGTATATTCTTTTAATAGACCCTGACATTGACTGATATTCAATTTTTTTGTTTTTTCTTTGTAGTATTTATTAAAAGTATAGAAAATTTATCTTATCTTTTTAAATAATTGAGTTTTATTGAAGAGTTTTTCTAAATTTTATGACAGACAGCACACTTTAAATGTTAACAGTAATATTTATTTCTACTACTAACATTATCATTTATCTCATTAATGTGCATATATTTTTAGTATTTGCAGACTCACCAATACTGTATATTTTGGCAAGGTCTCAGCTTTAATAATACTCTGAATACACATAAAGAAATGAGACAACATATCTGAGGTGTCGTTCCTTGGTGTGTTGTCAATCAAATTCCTGAGGTGGGCAACAATTGAATACCACATATTGAATACTTGAACATCTGCAAATCAAATGATATTAATTAAATTAGTTTAATAACATTTTTTATGACTAAAGAGTAAAATTTTTGGAATAGACATATGGATAACACAATTCTTATTGCTACTTACCTGCAACATCTGTTGCTAAGGAACAGCAGACCAGCGTTGCAGCATGTAGAAGGGTATGGCCTAGCTTATTAAAGAGGGTTGGGCTTGTGATAATGTCATGCTCAAGTGGCTCTAGAATGGAAATAGAAGATTCTAAAATGCAAGTTTCAGTAGCTTTAGGAAGAGAAGCTTAAAATGTTGGTCTTGTATACTATACTTTGCTTGCTTACTCCCTTGCTTCCTTCACTTTTGTTTATTTTTTGTGAGTAAGAAGTTTATCAAAAAAAATAATAAACAAGTAAATATACTATGCATGTTTTTCAGGAACAATGTTGGGTTAAATGACAATAAGAAACAAAAACCTACCTAGTGTGAAAGTAGGCTTTGGTGAGCTTGAATCACACTTGCCTAGGATGTGAGCCAGGGCCTCAACACCCTTCAGTTGAATAGATTTGAAGACTGGGTGAATAGGGCCTGGAGAACCAATGTTAAGGTTCAGTGTAGGTGTCACGGGTGTTGTATTACCTACTAAAAAGTAAACATTTGTTTAACTCTTTCACTACGTAATTTCCTATTCCATATTTCCCATATCTGGACGGAATAAAATGCAGGATCATCATCGCTAATATCCATCATCTTGTGATTCAGTGGCAGTATTTGAACAATCACTATCACTCTAGGTATCATCATCATTGACATCCCACTGTGCAAGTCTGCGAAGCACTTCTTCTGCAGTTAAAACGTCTCCCAAGGGCAGCCATTGAAATGTTACTCAAAACAACAATGCCTGCTTGAAGCCTGTTTCAGCCTTTATTCAGACCGAGAGCCGCCCTCAACGGCTCAAAATAAGGTCAAAGGTCATGCAGATTGTTGTTCAATATAATATATGCAAACGTCATGGGGATATCCCCGGGATATCCTCATTTGTTTACAGTGACGTCAACAAACCGCTGTCAGCGGCTTTCCGCTCAAACTGCATATTTTATCTGCGCCGCTGTGAGCGGCTCGCCGTAGCGAAAGAGTTAAATAATTTGAAACAATTGATACTATAAAACTACCATGATTTCAAATCATCAAAGTAATATTATTATTAATTTTAAAACATTGTACAGAGGACCAATACCAAAATGTCATCATATCTCGCAACTTTTTCTCTCAACCAAAACAACTTCAATCCCTGAGCCTCATATTGACATTTAGTTTCTGTAAAGCATTGTGTGTGTATGTTTGTCTTACCTTACAAACTTGACAGTGATATATTCACTAATGGCAATCCTTAGCACATGTGTGCCTAAAGAAATTAATAAAATCTCAAATTAGTTGGCGGAATGTGGTTTCCTTACCTTTCCTGTGTACCGGTGTGCTGAGAAGGTGCTTCATTCCATTCCCTGCACCGGAAGATGTTGGTGGAATGTGCACACCATTAGAGGATGCTAATCCAAGAGAAAACTGCAACAGTGGAGCACAAACCTGCCAGGTAAGAAAAGTTATAAATTTGGAACAGTGATTTTTATTATATTATTGTATCTGAATGTCAGTTTATTAAAGAGTGGAACACTTGCTTCGTGATCAAGACAGTTATCATCCAAATATTTTTACAAAAATACAGGATATTTTTTCAAAATAAAAAACTTTACTTTCCAATTCTCAGCAATCTGCTAGATTTTATAAGGAGTTGTCCAAAAACTATTTTAACGCTAGTACCGCGTCGGCTGTTTTGTCGCTGATTTTCACTAACGCGGCATATGGGCGTGGCCTAATATTCACCGTTCACGAGCTAACGAAATAACTAATGAATATGCATGATAGCTAACTCATTCTGTTTACCGCGGCACTCACGGTGCATCGTCCACAGGGTAGAAGTTTGTTGTTTACGTTTTCGAAGAATTCTGTACGAGACAAATTCTGTACGAACCTACGAAAGGTTGATGGAGCACGTCAGCAATTTTTGTATTAAATTTTACTTTCACCAGTCAGTTACAGTCAAGTGTAAAAAAAACGATCTAGGGACTAGCTCAGCCATTAGAGTTAGACTTAGCTTGAGGGTACTACTGTAGTAACTAGGAACTTATGTAGTTATGGTAGCGTGGTAGTTTTAGTATTGTAATTATAATTCATAGGCCTAGTAGTAGTACTTTATGCCTAAAGGTTGTATATATTTAGGCCTTATTTATTATACAGTACTGTATTATTATTTATTTATATAAAGTGACTAGGAGACTTCTTCCTTGGACGTGTCTTCCGACTGAATTCGTGCCTTTGGCTTAGAAAGAAAATTGTACTGAATATAAATTGTGTTTTCTAAAATAAAGATTGAAAATGAATCTTAATTCTTTACATTTTAGCCAGATCTATCTATTTTAGTTACTGTTCACTAGTCCGATTAATTAAAACTATTAAAAAGTCATGCATTATTTGACCTAAAATATTTCCGACTGATATCGTACCTGTCATCAGCGCCCAGGTCTGCCGGCCGCACGTGGTCCGTTTACAAAAAAATTGTACTCGACTAGTCTATAAATACCAGGCTTATTAAGGTCTCCGGGCGCACAGCCATGACGAATATTCTAAGTGGAACTTTGAGATGTCTGGACTCCAAGACTAGAAACAACTTGTTATGACAATGATAAGTACGAGTGTGTGCAGCGGCCAATAGGCCGACTTCAAATTAAGCAAGCATATTTTTTAAGTGTGGTGGTAATGCAGACGACATAGAAAGAGTATGTAACTAGAAATTTCAAATTGCAAGTGAAGTGCTGCGAAGTACAACTGCATATAAATGTTCTTTGAACAAAATCATTTATGCGAGTCAAGTGAAAATAATGAATAATAAAAATATAACAAATAATATGAGATACGACCCATTGTCTATATTAGAACACTTCTCATTAGGTAACAAAGTCGTAATTTTTATTTTTTGTCAAAAAGTGTCTATAGTGGTGAATTATGGTTTAGGTTTTTTTTCAAAAATTTCTATGTATGTGGAAAATGTAGTTGATTACCAAAGGTTACAATTTTTATTTTGAAGACTGCATGGTCTAGGAAGTATACATTTTTTTATGGGGCAAGTTTCCAAGGGCCAAAGAGTGTTGCCAAAGTGCGAGCCAGCGTGTTATTTGATCACAAGTGCGAGACATCGCAAGTGTGAGCCAGCGAGCATGACGTCACGACAATAGATACAAGATGTTACTCAAGTTTTTGCGAAGTATCGGCTGAGATTTGTGGAGTACAATTCAAAAAACAACTATAGGTCTAATAATGAATTATTGAGATGTTAAATAGACAATGTTAGCTATCAAGGAGCGATGTTGTTTTTCATTGGGACCTTCGTCCCTTCAAGGCTAGGCCTATACCATCCTAGCTAGTCTAGGCCTAGAGTAAGATAAGGCTAGCGCGACATTCGGACATTGGTACGTGTTGGTTATTCTACAAACGTCGCCTAAAGTAATTGATTTTACCCGGCAGAACGAAAGAAGGAAACTCCGCTTTTCAGTTGTCTTAGGCCCTTGTTTTTTGACAAACAATGACCTTTCAGAGGTCAAATTGCTGTCAAGAATATGAATTGGCTGCTTCGCAGCAAATATTGGGTTCTGTATCGAGTTGCCATAGTAATAATAAAATTGTCCTCTTCAAAATATGAAGATAAAGTGCATACCATACAAAACCCAAAGGTAAACAAATAAAAATGAACCCTTTCGTTGAAAAAAAAAATGATGGTGACAAAGTGGGTTTGTATATATTTTGGGAAAATCAGTTTAACAATGCTTTGACTGCATCTATGTCTGTCAAAATGCAGGTTTTGTACCAAGCCTACTGGTATTACGTTTTAAAGAAATAAATAACTCCAATGCAGCAATTAATTGAAATTATGGTAGATTTATGAGATTCTCCACCCATTATTCTGCCAGTACGAACGTTGTCTATCGATTTAATTTAACTGGATATTAAAAATTAATCAAAGAAATATTCACACTTCTACATTACAATATTTTATAATTATGAATTATATTATTTCTTTTCAGATAGGCCTATTTGCTGTAATTATTCAGTACTAATTATACTCATTATCACCAATTAATCAAGGTTCAAGTAGATTTGACTCTGGGAAGAAAGAAGGAACATGTTAAGATGTGCTTTGCTTCATGCAACGATATATGCCTAAATATGATATTGCTTGCATACAGCTGTACATTTAAATCCCAGTATATAATACCGTAAATGCTCGAAAAACGCAGCACCAAACCCAAGTTTTTTGGGGTCTTTTTGCTAAGCGCCGCACTGAAGCTTATTTGAGTGTTTATAGTACTGTTTTTAGTGACAGTTTTAGCATCTGATCTGGCGTATCAACTATAGTGGTGGCGTAAAAAGCTGTTTATGGTGGTGTGCGCATGTTTCACGATGACGCAGGTGCCGTAGTTATTAATTTCTACAGTATATTGTACGTACGTGTACGTATTTGTTCTGAGCATTGAGTGGTAAGGTGGAAGTACCGTACTACAAGATCGTAAATGAAAGGCGTGGAGGCACTCAGATAAAACTTTATTGCTCCATCACATGAAAAATGTCACGAAATATACAATCACTTCAAAATGATTAATTTATAGGATGCGTAAAATATACTATGTTTCACTGATGTGTAAAATATATGTTTCACTGATGTGTGGAGGTAAACAATTACACATTTGAAACAACACACCGTATCCATAATAGAAATACTGTACTACAGTACAGTTACTGTTTGATACACTTGGAATGCTGTTCAATTATTTATGTTTCATTTTATTGAAATGTTGCATGGACAGAGAAAATTAAAAAAAAATATGATAGGCCTAATTGAACCCCACTTTTCAACACTAAAAACTTAGATAGGCCTAATTTAATAAATAGATTAAACACTACAGTACAGTATTACATATATTACGGTAGCAGAATATTATGAATTTAAGCTGTAAGCATTCGATGGTGGTAATGCTCTTTCGCATGGAGCTGGCATGGATGTGGACCTGATAATTATGATGCTCACCAAACCAGACGATATCGAGAATAGTGTAGGGACGGTAAGCCTGTTATCCAACAAACGGCAGCAGACAACAATTATAGAATCTATTCAAATGCATTATCATACAAATATTTTAGTTTTTATGTAATTATTATTATAAATTTTTTAAACAAATAATTGAACAAATTCAGCTAAAATTAAACAGTACAGGGTTCATTTATTGAAGCTTTTTATCCACTGTTAAGCAATAAGTGTAACCGTAGAGATTTCTATGGAAGCTTTTTTATCCATTCTATATAATTAAATGGTAGTCATTAAGCTGCGAAAAAAAATACAGGCCATCCTGAAATTACGAGGAAAATCCCATTGGGACTGTACATATCGAATTTCGTGTAGGCAGGGCTTGCCCTAACTTTTTTTGGTAACTTGCCCACTGGGCTAGTTTACTAGAGATTTTACTAGCCCACAGAATATTTTACTAGCCCACAGACAGGAAAAAATTTTGTTTCAAAATAGTTTTTAGCGACAAATAAATTTGAAGGTTGATTTGCAATTTCATAATTTATGTAGTATTGCTGTTTGAGCTATCCTCTCAAAATATTGTTGAATAAATAAATAAAAAATCACCCATGCTGCAAAATTGACTCTGGTTATAACAGGGACAGATGAGAATGTTTTACATCTCCCTGGTTATAACTTTGGCTTTCTAATATTTAACAAAGGGCCCAGAAATCAATCAAACCAATGCATCTGTTAAATCTTTAGGTCTCAAGTCACTCACTCCCAATTAAATGGCAACAAATCTTGCTTAGGCTAGGTTAGGCTACCTAGGCAAGGCTAGGCTACCTAGGCAACGATCTTCTATTGAGAGAAAGATAACATGCCATCCTGTAGTGGTTGGTGAATGACTTGGGGATCATCTTAATAATTCAACAATCACGCATGTGGAGAGCTGAAAGCTAGCTAGAATGTACTCTCTGGGCTGCAGTACCTACTGTGCAGGGATTGTCTCGAAAGTTCCGCTTTTTTTTTTTTTTAAGAATGTGTTTTTCTTGCTAATTCTCCACTAGACAACCGGGCAACATGAGGAGTAAATAGGCTAGCCCGGAGCGGTTTTTACTAGACATTGTACGCCGGGCTAGTACTAAATCGAGCCCTGGTAGGGTAGGGATAGAAATGAGTTTATAATCACACATCACCAAGTAGGCCTAAAAATACTTGTGTATCAGTATATGCAATTATAAAAGAACGTTCTTGTTGCATTGCCTGAGTTCATTGACGTAGAGGTAAGACAAGGTACTGCAATCGGAATCACAGAGACAAATACAAGTAGTTAATTTGGCTAGCTGCCAGTTTTTAATCAAGTCCACAGCCAGGAGTTCGTGCTGTGTGAATTTGCCTGAAAGTTTCCCACACCAAAAAGATGTTACTCCTAGTACAAACTCGCATCGCAGTAGTCGCGTTATGCTACAATCGGCCGATTTGGGTAGACTGTGCAGACAGCTAATAAATATTCATGATCTACCGCGGTAGCAATCTTATGCTTCACTGATCTGCCTCATTAACGAACTCGCGGTAGATGAGATAGTGAAAAGGGCGATAACGGGGCACTTGCGTTAAAATAGTTTTTGGACGACCCCTAACTTAAATTAGAAAAATTAAATAAAGATACTACCTTGTTAGCATATAAATTCTCCATTATAATGTATTTTCTATATTTACCTGATCGAAGTTTGTTGCTGCCTTTGGTCCGAGTGCCTTGATCAGAAACCACCAGACTTCAAACTTCACCATAGCAACACCTTCTGTCTTTGCGTTGTTTACTCTGAATGGCTGCACCAACAGTTTGATACGCTTTTGGTTATACAGAATATCTGCAATTGGGGAATATTGTGAAAGGTTAAAAGGAGAAAGACAAACAGTAAGTTTTCATACTGGATTAAATAACAATGAAATATAAATATTATTAATAATTCAAAGCACCGGGATCACAGACATATCATTATATTTTATTTATTTATTAACATTTCTTAAATTTTATTGTTTTTGTAAACATAGTTTATCAAAAATTTTTTTTTCAAAGAGTTATAGTGATTCATCTGCTTAACCTGCCGCTGACCATTTTTCTGCATTTATTTGGTCGAATTAACAAAACAAAAGCGTTGGATGGTGGTCAGCCAAAGATTTGAACAACTAAAAGGTGTGGAACAGTAACTGGAAGATAAACAAGTGTAAGAATCTTAACCTTGCAGATTAAACTGGGCAAAGCAATATTTAAAAGAAAAATACTGACATGGCTTGGATAAAAATAAAAATAGTGTAAAATATTAATATTTTACTAACCTGGATCTAGTGCAAAATTCTCAATGAGGATCTTCCAAGCATGAAATGCAGCAATCTTAACATCTGTAAGTTGATGCTTGAACCCTTGCTCCGCTAGTCCAAGCATCAAGTTTATCAAACTACCACCCCGGTGCATTGTCTGAGGAATGAACAAGAAATAATAAAAAACTTCTTTATTTTATATTATTAACACTTATGTTTGTGGTGAAGACAAGCCAAACCAGTCACTCCACGCAAATTGTATTTGTGTTCAATAATGGCCAAAATATATTGAAATGTAAACATTTTTGGAAATCTATTTTGTTACAATAAACTAACCTTTACAAATCTCTACAAGAAGTTTCTGAAACTGTAAACTTTGAAGGCTGCGTTTTTTAATACTGTTTTTCAAACAGCTGTATGTTTATACTCTGTAACTTCATAATGAAATGCTGGATTTAAATGATTCTTTTATAATTTTATAACTTTCACTTTACTTTTCAATTAACCCTATATTAATAAATAGAAATTGAGTGACTGGTTTGGCTGGTCTTTGCCAATGAAGTCTAAATTCAAGAAAAATGTAGTTAAATTCTACATGTAGTGCAAAACATTTTACCGATTGTACCACAAAGAACCTTGTTTTAAAAAAGAATAATGTAGCACAGTCAAGTCCGCAAGTCAACTCTGTTTAAGTCGAAAATTTGCGTCAGTCGAATTTTTGAAAAATTCTTTCTTATGTATTATTGTGTAAATTGTTTGTTTGATTTGAATTTTTATAAGTCAAATTTCAGCTATATCAACAGACATTTCCGGTCTGGATAGGCAGATTTTAAAGTAATTTTAACCACACAAGTTGAAGTTCTAAATTTAGTAGCGCACGTGGGAAAAATACACAGCCGTGGGAAAATACGAAGTTCAATCCCTGTTGTACGGCAACAAGTTAGCCATGTCAAAACTAACATCTCAGACAGCGCGCTGTGGAATGATGGCTCACACGATCGTATGTCGTAAGTTGCAGTCTACTCTCACAATACAGACACTCCTCCGGACCGGCTCCAATGTTTGGTTTTTTGTCCAGTTCGGTTTGTAGAACTTGCATTGAACCCATTTCGAACAAGATTGTTGTAGCTATTTAATTAATTTATCAAAGCCCTGGATTTTTTTTAACTAGGCCTAGCCTACGCAAATTCAACACATTATTTAACATAATACGTACAGTACCTGCTGTTTTGCTGTACTGCTCAGCAAATTTAATTATTACCAATAAAATATGCGACTTTTATATTGATTTTACATGCATTTCTTTGTCTGATATGTTTTTCCAAGCACACATTCTTCGTTGGGCAATGCCACTTGCTGTTCGAAAAGCTTCTTGAGTTTAAAGAACGAATGAGGTGCATTTGCAATTTATACTGACGAATCTAACGAATTTGAATTTAGACGTCCACTGAAAAGAGTAACGAGTAGGAACTTGCCTTGTTGAGTTCTGTCTTAATTTCAGGTTGATTCCAAATGGTTTTTAAGGATTAAAAGCAAGAATATACACTTACTAAAACATTGGAATGCGTAAATTTCACTTCATAATTAACCAAGAAAACGTCTACTGGTGTGTCATGTTAATCAACAGATAAACACCATGGCAATGCGAGTACAGCTAAGCGTCTCGTTTTCACAGCATCTGGTATGCTTGTTGTTAAACGATGTCTATTTAACTACCGTCTCGTTTTTCCAGTGAATGTTACCATCCTGAATTGGACAAATCGTCCAAGATTCGGAATAGGGAGTTCCTGTTTTCGGAAAGTGTTTTATTAAAGGAAGAATAGGAATGATTTTGGGACTTTTGCGTGAAATTCGATTTTGTGGGCATTGAGTATACACAGTATTGTTCTATGTTAATATTTTTAAAAATCTGTATAACTCAAACTTTTTATGCCAGTCCCATTAAATTTGAATGTATATCAGTCCTAGATGGAAGGTTGAACTATAAACCAAAATGTGTTAATTGAAAGTCTTACCTTGCCTAGTAAAATCACAAATTGGCCCCAGATCTTAAGAACATAAAGTTCATGTTTGCAGGCAAACAGTTTGCTCATCTCTGTAATGATGTTGGTCTTTAACTCTTGTACCACTGTGGAGGCTAGCTCCTGCCTGAACTTCACCATGGCTGGTAGAGCCAACTCAAGGGCTAATAAAGCCCTTAAGCGCACTTTGACAGCTGAGTGGACAAGTGATGGTAGGATCAACTTCGCCCAACGTAAGGTGTTTGCCAGCATTTCATCTGGTAATGTTTCCAGGAGTCTGAATTTGGAGGGAAAAATCATGTAATACAACGGGTATATAAAATAATTTAATCACTAATATTAGCTATGAGGTACAATACAAGGGTTGAGTCAATAATTGAAATTATTAATTATCCTCAACCCTGTACCCCAGGTTGTTTTACACAAAACCATTTTCCAGTAAAATTCATTAGACCGATTATTAGTATTAGGTACACTATAGGAAAATTATTATACGAAGGTTAGATTTAATGCTTAAAAAAATTTCCCGAGGGCCTGAAGGAAATTTTTTAATGCATTAAATCTAACCTAAGTATAATAATTTTCCATTTTTTTTTATAACAAACTGTTGTAGCAGTCATCGGTTGCTATAGTGATATGATCAGTATACATGTGCATATTTACATATAACTGTGCGTATGCCGATTTTTGCTCCTGCAGTACGTGTTTAATTTACAGCCCCATTCCCGGCAAAATTTCACTAAAAATTGACTTTTTTTAGAAAATATGCATTTGCATTACTTCAATTATTATAAATCATGGAAAAATATTGGCATGAATTTTAGTTTTACGCAAAAGAATAAAAAAAAAAGAGACATACAGACTATTTCTCATAAAATATTACCATTTTCTCGACGAATTCATCGTTACTAGGCAAATTCAGAGGATGTAGATCGCATCCACTAGAATACTCTCGCTTTTATGTATACTTTATACAGTCAATAAAGTGCACCCTCTCTAATGAGATTAATTTTTGTACTTCGCATCTCGCACAATGCGGTCGTTCGGTTAGGCTGAGATATGTTTGTTTAAG